CCAAGGCAGTATCACTACGGAAGTAGACTGCCCAACCTTCCTTCCGAGGAGTGGCTGGTGGGTTTGAACCGCCAGCCTTCTGGATAGCAGTCAAGTGCCTTATACATTATGCTATCAGAGTTCCTTGTATAGTATGTTATGCCAGTTGAACTTGAAGTCCCCTGCGACTATGGTCCTGAACCCACAGGTTCAATTACTCACTCCCTCTGGGTAGCTGGCTGTGACCAAGAAGTGACTACAATCTTGAGGAACTGTGGATTTGAAGAGGCTTTGACTCTGTAGGAAGGGGATGTGGGGTTGGGAGGGGGCGGATGCAGCCACACCTAAGAAGTGGAATTTCTGATGTGAAAATATGTGAGACGGTTCACTACAGATGAGTAAGGAAGCACAAGAAAACCCATGCTTACCTTGCCTACTGGGTCACCCACCCCATCTTTGGGAGTTCTCTGCCCTGAACCCAGGGATCAGAGGATCCATGGGCTGAGGGCTGACAACCAGCTGGTGAGCAGGAGGGGAGGAGGAAGGGCGAGATTCCTTCTGTGTGTCAGGGAATCCTGTCACAAGAGAAACTGGTGATACAATTTTTCCCTAATTTCCTGTTTCCCAAATCAGGGGATGTAGTACAAAGTGGTTCCCAGCCTGACTTTAGTCTCCACGACAAGTGGGGAATGATGACGATAGCATGGCCCAGTGGACAACCAGGAGGCTGCCATTCTAACAGAACAAGGGGACACTACATGGTTCAAAATCAGGAAGGGAGTGTGTCGGGGTTGTATCCTTTCCCCATATTTATTCAATCTGTATGCTGAACAAATAATCCGAGAAACTGGATTATATAAAGAATGTGGCATCAGGATTGGAGGAAGACTCATCAACAATCTGAGAAATGCAGACAACACAACCTTATTAGGTGATTTCCCTAACATAAAGAAAACAAAAGTCCTCACAACTGGAACAATAAGCAGCATCACGATAAATGGAGAAAAGATTGAAGTTGTCAAAGATTTCATATTACAACACCAATGGAAGTAGCAGTCAAGACATCAGATGATGTATAGCATTGGGCAAATCTGCTGCAAAAGACCTCTTTCCAGTGCTGAGGAGCAAAGATGTCTCCTTGAAGACTAAGGTGCAGCTGACACAAGCCATAGTATTCTCAATCGTCTCATATGCCAGCTAATGAATAAGAAAAAAAGAGTTGATTCTTTTGAGTTGTGGGGTTGAGGGAGTACTGAAAGTACCATGGGCTGCTAAAAGAACCAACAAATCTTCCTGGACAAAGTGTAGCCAGAATGTTCCTTGGAAGCAAGAACGGCCAGACTTCATCCATCTACTTTGGTCACGTTGTCAGAAGGAACCATTTCCTAGAGAAGGATGTCATGCTTGGTAAAGTGGAGGGTTAACGAAAATGGGAAGGCCCTCAACAAGATGGATTGACATGGTGGCTGCAGTGATGGGCTCAGGTATAGTAGGGATCGTGAGGTGGGCACAGGACCGGGCAGTGTTTTGTTCTGCTGTCCGTAGGGTCACTATGAGTCAGAGACAACTCAAAGGCACATAACAACAACAACTGGACAACATGGTCCTGGGCCTTCCCTCCTGCAGGCTGTCATGTCTATCACAATGGCAGGCGTCGGCCCTCCTGGAGAAGTGTCTGGTTCTCCAGCAATGGGCTCAGAGCTCATCTGTGTAGGAGGACCTGCAGCTGCCACAGTGAGGGGGTGAGTTGGGGTCTGCACCAGATGAAGCAGGAGACATTGAGGACGCCATGGAGGGTCCCCTTGGGGACAGGAGGAAAAGTGATGAGAGAACAGCCCTCTGTCCACTTATGGATGGTGCCCCCAGTCAGGCCAGAGAGGAAGCGCCCCAGCAAAAACACACCTCTGGGGACCACCATCAGGGACACACACCATGGCCTTGTGGAAACATCAGACAGGACAGCGAAAAGCCATGAGTGCATCAGATGCAGTGACTGTCCCCAAAATCTCTAGGTCATGTTGGGAGTGAAGGCAGAAGCCATGAAGTTCTGGTCCTTCCACTTGAAGAAACAGCAACAGCCGAGGCCCAGGCACCACCGCCGGTCCCCCCACAGATGCTTGCATTCTGCTGCAGTGCTGAGCCGCGTTCTGTGGTGC